GGAGCAGCGGGGGCAGGGGGTGGTGGCAAATGAGAGGACAGAGAGCTGGGAAAAGAAGAATGGGGGACAGGGTGATGAATTGAGGTGGCGTTGGAAGTCGGCGGACCAGGCTGAGGAGGTGCTGGAGGCGGAGCAGAAGGGGCTGCCGGGGCTGAGGGGGCAGTCAGTGGAGCAGATGATGGGTGAGAGGGGAGTGAAGGTGGGAGGAGAGATGAAGGAGGTAGATTGGACAAGGACTGCGGGGCAGGGGGGTTAGGGGGTCGAGCTACAGCTGCCAGAGTTGGGTTCTGGAGGTGAGGAGGACCAGGTGGAGCTGGAGGCGGAGGAGTACCATAAAGTGACACCTCATTAGCTACTGCTGCACCTCCTCCAAGGAGCAGGGGGTGAGCATGTACATGGGAATTAGCGTGGGCATGTGAATGTGAGTGAGCGAGAGCAATTGCTGCAGGATCAGCTATGGATACTGGCGGGTAGACTCGCTCATCACTCTTAAACTCATATCCGGGCTTTATCCGATCTCGATGCGCAGCCATTGCATGAGGGAATCCAACACCTCCTAAACCTGCTCCCCCAATTCCTCCAGGTACGGGGCCTCCTGCCATCCCGGGGTGCCCACCAATACCCGGACCGCCTTCAAGGCCGCCACCATACAAGAAGCCCAAGATGGCTGCTGCTGTTGCAGCATCAGTAGGCAGGTGGTGTGGGTGGCCTAAAGCATGATTCTGAAACTGGGGAAGGAAGAAGGATGGGTGAACGTGGGGGTGACCGTGGTGGACTTGAGAGTGGTGCACCTGAGCACGACTTGCAGCCCCGAGTGGCGACATAACATGCGGACGAGCATATTCGCTCAGAGTTCTCAGCGCTGGTGTGTCAGGGCCTAAATATGGACCTCCTAAACCTATACCCAGGGCCGCCTGAGGGCCCCCAACTACTGCTGAGGACCCACCCATGGATGGTAAGAGGAGGGAGTGGGGGATAGAGTGGGAGAGGCTGGGATGTAGATGGTGTGCTGGAGGAAGGTGAGCATGTGGATGTGAGGGGTGATGCTGGGGATGAGAGGGAGGGTGGGAGACAGGGTTGCCGGAGGAAGAAGCAGAAGAACATGAAGGGTCAAGAATGATGGAGGATGAGGGGGGGAAGAAGAGTGAGGAGCCCTGGCGACCCCCTCCAGCAGCGCTGACATCCTTCTGCTGTGAAATAGAAAACAAGAGAAGACAGTAAATCATGTTTGCCTGACCTACATTACTCCTCTTCCATTAAACAGATCAATTTAGTCTCAATCCAATTCATTAAATTTAACACTGTACTTAATTATCACCGTGAAATGTGCACACCTGTAGATGTCGATCCAGTTCCCTCTCTCGCTCACGTTCTCTTTCTCTTTCTTTCTCTCTCAGGTCTCTGGCCCTCTGCTCAACTTCCCTGCGAGCCCTTTCAATCATCTCATTCCTCTTTTTCCACAGCTTGGAGCCGTCTAATGGGACGAAAAGGACATCACTGCGGGCGCAAGAGTTTCCGCTACCACGGTCAAGAATCTTGTGAAACCTAGAATTGATAGACAGCATCAGAACATTGTTTTTAAGATGCTAAACACCAAGAAGACTGACAGTCTTAAAGTCAGAGTCAGAGTTTCTTTATTGTCGTTTGCACCACGTGGTACATGTGGTGGAACGAAATTATGTACACAGGGTCCCAGTTACATCCAACAATAAAATGTAAAAGAAAAACAGTAATAAGATCTAAGATATGAACCAAGAAATACATCAACTAAAAATATGCTAAGCACTAATAGTATAAAAACAATATGTCGAACAGCAGCACGAACATGAGCCATGGCACTAAATGTAAAGATAATCATTGCAATGTCACGAGAACTGGCAAAAAATTATAAAATACCGTAAAAATCGAATCCTCACAATTTTTTTCTCATATCCACGGTTCATGTGCTGATGTTCATGTCTCTCTTTATAACACTACGCCTCTATGCTTGATCCTTGATATTTATTCTTGATAGTTGTCTTACACATTGATTCTCTTTTCTTTAATGTTTAGCAGCAAATTTGCTCTTATTTTTTCACCTAAACATCTTTTCCTCAAATCTATGCTTGTCAATTCCATCTTATTTGTTTCCTTACACAGACTTTGGCCAGCCTGCTGTAGGTCAGTCATGAGGCTTTGCTTGCATTAAGTGCATTGCAGAATGGCTCATCAATATATCTGGAAAACCACTGGAGTAAACTCTTTCAAACTGTACCACATGATAGCATTCATGATAATCTACTGTATGACTTACTTTATAGTTTGCAACAAATACTTTAAGGTTAAGGATAATGAGATGACTTTACCGTGCTGATTGGCTGGCGTGAATAGGAATATCCACATGTTTTGGTTCAGGAGAAGGACTTTTCAGCACTGGCGGTGGGCTTTCACTCTCCTCTCTTTCCTCTGGGGGTTCCTCCTTGATGACAGGTGTAGGAGGTAGGCTTGAATCTGGATGTCCTTCTACACCAGGATGGGAAGAGCTCGAGGCAGGTGTTGAGATGTTGCTGTTGTTGGTGGAGTTACTAAGAGGTGGAGGAACCTTTGAGACATTTTGTGGTGAGAGCGACTGCGAGTTGGTATTGCTGCTACTGGCTGCGCTACTGCTGCTACTAGTGTTTGCCACAAAGCTGCCATTGTTTCCATTAGAGTGATATGTTCCACTGAATTGAGGGTGGTTGTTCAAAGTGCCATGGAATGATGAAGGACGGCATCCAGGTGAACAGCTGGATGGCACACCTGGTGCAGGAACTTGTATGCTGGGAGCTGATGAGGAACCAGAAGGAAAGGACGAGAAGGCTCCCATCTGATTGGTAGATGGGCTGGGTAAGGGAGACAGGGGTGTTGGAGGAGTCTGGGCTGAGGACTGATAATGTGAGGGACGTACAGAGGGTCCAATACCGGAGGGAGGTGGGGGGGCATGGGAAGCTTGAGGTGAGGGTAGAGTTGGTGGAGGAGTTGGATGTGGGTATTGTCCATGATGACTAGAAGAGGAGGAAGGAGAGAGTGCAGGAGGCTGACTTGGCCCCCCGCGGCTTTGGTACAGAGCAGACTCTCGCAGGTTTGCGTCCCGTTCCCTGTCTTTGGGACCAGACTGGTAGTGAGGGTGTTGTGGGTGAAGATGTTGTGTTCCTCCAGGTCCTGAATACTCTCGACCCAGATTTGGAGTTACCCCAGGGGAGCTTAGGTACTCCCGATTTGTGCCAGCTGAAGGAGGTCCCCCAGTTGGAAAGTCTTTTCCTCCAGTCGGAGGGTACTCTCTGTGAAAGTGGTCTGCTCCAGAGGAGGATGTTTGTGTCTGGTCAATGGGAGGAGGAAAGTCCCGGTTTGATTGGTTTGGAGGATGAGAGTGGGGGTGTGAGGGCAGTGACGAATGGGAAGGGTGATTAGGATTGTTTTGGGGAGATGAAGGTGGGTCACGGTTGAGGATAGGAGTGACTGGTAAGCCACCGGTTGAATTTGGAGGGTTTCCTTGTGGTATGGAGTTGTTGTTGGGGTTGCTGTTGCTCACAACCTCTCTTGTCTGGCCCACAAACTCACCCCATCTGTTGCCATCTTTGTCTCTGGGATGCCCCCCTGTGGTTCCACTGGGGCCAAAGTCTCTACTCTGGTTTTGATTTGGCAGATTAAACTCCCTTCCTCCTTCACGTTCCCTTTCTCGCTCCCTGTCCCTAAAAGCTGGACCAAAGTCTCTTCTTTCTGGGCCTAAATTAGTTCCATCTCTTCCACTACCTTGGTACTCTCGGTTTTGCCCCGCTGATAGACCTCCAAACTCCCGACCTGGAATGCTGTTGGACCCCCCCATGGCACCACAACCATTATTACTGTTGCCCCCACCACTACCATTGCTGCTGTTGCCAATGGGAGCAGAAAACTCTCGGTTGATCTCTCTCCCCCCACACTCCCCTCTCGCTCCCCTCTCCCTCTCTCCTGCAGCTCCTCTCTCTCTGTCCCCTCCCCCTCCGGCATACCTGGGAAGGTACTCCCTGTGGGGGTGGGGATGAGGATGGGGGAGGTAAGAGGGGTGGGAGGAGGAGTGGCGAGAGGATGGAGGGTTGTAAACAGAGGGGAGTTGCTGCTGCTGCACAGGAGGCTGGTGCTGTGGGTGGTGGTTGCCAGAGTAACGAGAGTAGCCCCAGCTACCCTGGCAACCAGTTGCTGTGCCACCCTGCCAACTGGTGGAGCTGTAGTGGTGGGGATGGCTAGAGGGCTGGGTCTGAGGCTGAGGCTGGGGGCCGGCCTGTGGCAGCAGAGAGGGAGGTGTTGACTGAGTCTTGTCCAAGAGTTTGTCTGATTTTTCACTTTTGTCTTTCTCTATCTTAACTTCAGCAGGCAAGCTTTGACCGCCATGTTCCAAAGGCTTCAGAGCTGGCGGAGGAGGAAGTGGAGGGGGTAATGAGTGGGGGCTGTTGTGTGAAAAATCTCCACCAGAGATAGTTGTCTTGTTGATGCACTGTGTGCTGGCTTTGGAAGTCATTCTGTTACCACTTAGGGCACCTTCAACACCCGCTGGTGTACCATACTCAACTTTACACATTAGTTTAGAGTCCAGGGAGAAATATGACTTCCTCCCACAACTGCTGTCGTTTGATGAATCTCCAGCTCCACGGAGAGAAGGAGTCAGACTACAAGAAGAGCAGGGAGTGGAGGGGGGCTTTAAAGACGGGCAGTCCTCAACTGTCTCCACATCTCGCTTTTCACCATCGCCGCAGGATTCTTCTCCTCTCGTCTCTCGTAGTGTTCTCCTCTCCTCTCCTGTGACCTTCCCTGCTCCTCCCTCTTTACCTTTCTCTCGTTCTCCTTGCTTTGGTGAGTCGGGGCCATCAGAATCAGAGTCCAGGCTACCCAAAGGTGACGCAGAAAGACTTGGAGATGAGGAGCGATTGTCCTGGTCGATATCCCGCCCGCTGCTCAGGCTACTGCTGCTGTTGGCCAGACTCCCGACAACTGAACTTCTGCTGCCCTGGGATTGGCCATCTTCGTTGTCACTCTCGCGAGATTGGCTGGGAACGGTGGTCGGAGGCGGGACAGTGGAAGGAGTCGAACTTTCAGTCATATGTGTTGATGTTGGAGGGTTTGGGGTAGAGACCGAATCCTGACAAGAAATTACAAAATTTCTGGATGAGATGAAAAATGATAATCTTGACTGACTACATGCTGGTATAGAAGGGAAATAATTAAATTTGAGCTAAAACAGTCACATATGAGTGATTTATCTGAACCATGGCTTTATAATTGGTCTTTATGTAACAAAATGTAACACAAACCTGAACTTTCTGCCTCTTTGGAGGAGACACAAGTTCCTCCCCCTCGCTCTCTGATGAATCATGGCCTTGTGATCTGCGACTGAAGCGATTTCCAGCCAATTCCTCACCAGCACTTCTTTGCTAAAACAACACAAGACTTTTTAATTGTATTGTGATAATCCTGAATCTTTTAATAGACCCAAATTTGTTTTTAGAACAAAGCTATAGCTGCATGCGCTCACACACCGCATCTATTTCCAACACAAACCATCAAAGATTTCAATGTGCAAAAGGTGCACATCAAGCAACTCTCACTATTCTTACACTGCAAGAGCATATCTGCAGAACTCGTGCCGATGACTCATATGCTGACAGCACACACCTCACCAGTACCGCACATCTTTTATTGTTCATGACTTTTGGATATTTATGCACAAATAAAATTAAGGCCCAGACAGATAGAGGTCTAAACCTAAACAACAAGAACACAAAGTAAAAGAGATGAGTTCTAACCGTCTGTCTGTCGTTGCGTTCAGGGCGAGTGGGGCTGGCGTGCGGGCGTCTACCCCTTCTCTCCTCACTTGCCCCCCTCCGTCGCCCACTGCGCATGGGCATCTGTAAAATCCAGCAAAAGGGAATACGTGGCAGGTGGTGCAAAGTGTTAAATGTTTATTTAAATGTTCAAGGAGAAGAGCATAAAGAGGAAAACTAGGCACATATGTTGATTGGAGTGACAATAGAGTTCATATAAAACAAAGGAGAATAATTTGGTTTTAGGTGGAATAAGCATGCAAAAAATGAAAGAAAGAATGTTAAATAATTTAAAGCTTAGCATTCATTGAAGGAATGCATATCACCCGCCACCTTTCATGCCAGTGTTTTAGAACCTCTTATGTTGAGATATGACAGTTATAACTATTATTATAAACTACTTTGTATTTAGTCAGACAAATCCCATTGAGATCACAGATCTCTTATGCAAGGGAGGCCTGAAGGCAGCTAACATGCACGTTTTTATACTGTGGAAGGAAACCGGAGTACCCTGAGGAAACCCATGTAAACTAGGAGAACATGCAAACTCCACGCAGAAAGGCCCCATCCAAACCGGGGATTGAACCCAGGACCTTCTTGCTGTGAGGCACCAGTGATAACCACTAAGCCACTGTGCTACCATTTTAGTCACACCTTGAAAATATAAATATTATTATACACAATTTTATGCTATATTGCCAAATTTCGCATGACCTTTCAGTGCTTGGAGTTAGTATTTGTTGTGAATGACTGTGAGGTATGACCACAGCAAATTTTAGCTAAATATCTGTAAAATTCAAAGAGATGTAGCCATTTTTGAGTTGGCTGATTAGTTGTGGTGACCATTTTGAATCAGATTAAGTACATAAGTTAATCAGTTGTAGAAGTCAACCTATGATTTCCTTCTGAAAGTTTAATTAAAAATTTTCAGTAATTTATGAGAGACTTCAGACTGTACAGACTGTCAATAATGTGTTTATAGCTTTGATTTTCATAACCAAATAAATTCTAGTGAAAATGGTGATTTAGAACAATTGTCTAATTTTGTTCTAATTATGATGTCAGAAAAACTAAGCAGGTAATACAACCTCTAACAGCACTATAAAATGCAGACAAAAGCCTTGGGCCATACCGATTCCTTGTGTGTCCTTGTTTTCATTATTTCTTCCTTATGACATCCATTTTACGACGCAAGCCATTGCAGAAACTGAACTGGATCCCAGTTGTTTACCCACTCGGCTGCGTTACACCGAGAAAGCTACCAAAACCTGAGAAGAAGCACAAGCAAAGAAGGCATCATTCAGTCTGCATAGCCATCCTCCTGAGAATTAACTGTTTCACACACACAAGTAAAAACACAACATGAAAGAGTTCGGCGCTGATCCGTGTCATTTGCTATCTGCACCAAGAGCAGAGTTCAGGAATTTGTGACATTAAAAAAAACATTGGAGTGTACGACTGCAAGAGCACAGCAGCAGCATTTAAATTCGCTGCATTCTCTGTACGAGTACAACTGCTCTTCACCGTGGCTCAAAACAGCCTCCTCTCCACGCTCGGCTTTCACCTCAGCAGCAACTGGCACATGATTAACCCCTTCTTATTGTCAGAATGCACCAGTTTGAATCCACAGTGCTTAAATAGAGATAATGGAAAAGTGGCCTGCAGAAAACAGATCAACTACAGAAAATATCTTGAGGAGGGGGCACAACCCCCTCCTTTCTGCTTCCACCTTCCCTACAACAACCCACAGCCACTTGTGGTTAACCCTCATGACCTGGTTATGGCCAGAAGAATCACATGTTTATTTATTCAGCAAGCCATTAGGGAAGTGAACAATGTCAAGCTTCTTTATCCATGTGGTTGTGTCTGGCAATGCACAGTAGATACTCGCAAGGCTTGTCTAATCCATTCATCCATTCATTCATTCATTCATGTGTCGCTAAGATGTAAAAAGTGGCTCATGTATATTGAATGAGGTTAAAAATAGTGCATACTGTTGGGCGGGAAAAAAGGAAGAATGATATACTCTATAGCATATGTGTCAAACTCAAGGCCTGGGGGCCAAATGTGGCCCTCAATGACATCTTATCTGGCCCACAAGATTTTATTTTAAATAAACAATACTTTAATTACTTTATTTTTTTTCAGTAATATTTGATTATGACGTCAAAAGTACAACAGAGAACATCAAATGAGACCAATCAAATTCTTGTTGAGGAACCTGTGGCCAAGAAAAGATGTCGGGTATTTAACTTGAGTTCATGTAGATTCTGAAATTGGCCCTTAGTTTGAAAAAGGTTTTAATTTTGGCCCACTTTTGTAAGTGAGTTTGACACCCCTGCTCTATAGGGAAATGTGCTTAAACGTAACTCCACAACCATGAATTTAACTATCCATGCTGCTGTGGAATATTCAGAATCAATTAAATCCTTAAAGTTGCAATTTATTCACACGTAAAAAATAAAATAAAGGCCTAGAATTACTTGAAGGAATGAACGTCGCTCGCCGCCTTCAAGAACGTCAAGAGTTTTAAACTAAGATCATCTTATGTTGACGAATGACTGAGTCGTGGTGGTTTTGGTTGAATCTTAATAACATTATTGCATGCAACATCGTGCTCATGACTTTAACGCGGCAAATTTGAGCTCCGTATCTGTAAAATTACAGAGTTCGAGCCACCTTTGACTTCTCTAATGTTGATTAGCTATGGCAGACATCATGAAGTGAATTGGCTACAGAAGATATCAGTAACAGATGAACAAACAGTACTTTCTGTGTACTGTTAAGAGACAGCTTTCATGAGGTGTTTCGCTAACAGACAAACAGGTTTGACTCCCAACAGTTAATACTAAAATTTAAGGCAAATATACGAGTAGCACTTGAACTCGGTGTTGTGAATGACTTTCAGCTAAAACCGCATGCAATTTGACCTCAACATGTGTAAAATTGACTGAATTAAAGCCAACAGAGCATTTTCTGAAGTCCCTTGGCTGTAGTGTCCACCTTTAATTAGACTGGCTCAAAAAGTTAAAGAATTGTAGATGCAGATCCAGAGACGATTCCTTCTAAGTTTCATTAAAATCCATCATGTGGTTCATGAGATTTATTGCAAACAGACAGATGGCTTCAAACAGTTACTGGCAACATTATAAACGAAGATCTTGCTCAGTCTACCATATGGTGATGACTCTCAGCTACTACCACATCAAGTTTAAGATCAACATCTGTAAAACTGACTGAATTATAGTCATTTTGTATTTAAGGTCAGTTGGCCGTGGTGGCCATCTTGAACTGGATTGGCTCCAAATGTCAATCAGTTGTAGATGTAGAAGAGTTTCATGAAAATCTGTCCACCGGTTCATGAGCTATTTTGATAAAACTCGGACACAGACGTGAGCAAAAACATTATCGTCCGCCTTCACAAAGAGCATGTGTGCAGAGATCCATGATTGGAGCAGGACCATTGCGTGCGGGCTACGAGACAATGCATCTTACAGGTGGTAGGTAGCAGGCCCGCCCGCCCGCCGGTGGCCCGCCCGCGGCCCGCCGGCGGCCGCGGTCATCCAGTACACACCAGCAGCGCGAGCCTACAGCGCGTGCATCATCCAACAAACCGGCCTCTGCATGTGATGCAAAGCAGCAGCATGCGGAGGCTCTGCTTACATCACCAGCGTGCAGGACGCAGCCGCTCCATTCTCCTTCTTTTCTTCTTCCCGAAGAAAAACGGAAAAAAAAAAAAAAAAAAAAAAGCTCTTGGTCGGTGCACGCGCGCGGGGACCGGACCCACGGCGGAGCCCAGGTCGTGCACGACGTGTTCAGCAATCTGAGCGGATGCCTGTGCACGCAGAGCCGCGTTTCCCAAACGATGCACATGTTAAAAAAGAAAAAGGTGATGATTCAGAATGGCCGAATTCCCTCCCCTCTCTCTCCCCCCTCAGCCCCTTTCTTTCCTCGCTAATGGATGCAGATCCTGAACATAACCTTGCAGGATAGAATGTAGCCCTAATAATAATAACGCAGGATATATGATTAGTGCACAAAGAAACGGGGTAAAAGATGGCAGGGGGAGAGCACAAACGTGGCTCCGAACACACACACAGAGAAGCCTTAAGAATCCATTTTCCTCCTTACCTATTAAAACATCCAGCGACGCGTTCTTCCACTCTCACTTCTCGTCCCTTTCTCCCCCGTTTTAGTTTCTTCTTCTTCTTGTCGTTTTATGTTGCACGCTGACACGCGCACCTCGGAGCCGAGGCGTCTGTCAACAACACGGGCTCGCGCTGGCTCATATTGCAACCGATCATAACAATAACGCAGAAGAAGAAATCTTTTTGCTATTCCTTTGCTGAAGGAGGGGGGAGTATCCCTAAAAATAAAAAAAGGGGTGCCAAGTGGAGGCTATACAAATTGATGCCTCCCCCTCTTCTAAGACGACTTGCACTTCTTTTTTAAACCACCCCTCTCCAGGCGTACAGTCAAAATATTTCAGCCGGAGAGAGGGATGCACGTCGGGTGAGGGAAAGGGAGAGTGGTGAGGGCGTGATTTGCATAAGGAGGGAGGGAGGGGGAGGAGGAGGGAGTGTGGCAGGGAGAAAGAAGAGAGGCGCAGAGTGAGGGCCAAAACTCTGAAAAGGGAGGGTCTCTGTGCTCCCTTCCGAGTCACCTTTAGGAGAGCCTCTCTGCTCAGGCTGAACCCGCAGTGAAACCAGAAGAGGGGGGGGGGGGAATATACGGAACAACCTTTAGCTGTTTTTACTGAACTCATCAGTAGATTCAAAGGACGTAAAGTGTAATTTTAGCTAATTTGGCTAACAAAGGCGGCTTCAACTCGCTTTAAAAACGGCTAAAACAGTTAGCTTCCATGGTTCCTCCCGTGTTGACTCAGCTCCGTGCCCGCTGCGGTGTCCAGTCGAGCGGCTCTGCAGACCTCCTCCTCCTGCTCCTCCCTCTCCTCCCTGCTCGTAGCCCCCTGTCCCGTCTCCTATTGTATGGTAACCATGGTAACCCGTTCGGAGACTGCGCGCAGTGCGCCTGCGCGGCTCTGTCCAGCCAACCATTAGTCAAGGTTCGGCAGCTATAGCAAAGGCTGCCAAAAATATGAGTGCAGCTATCGCGCCCGCCCTCTGCTGGTTAATCTGCGTAAAGACAGCACGCGCAGACGTGCTGTACTGCTCTGCAAGAATCATGTTTACTTTTTATCAAATCATAATAAATATTATTTCATCGTTAAATGCTACTGTAAATGCTAGCGCATACTATAAATGCGCATGCGCTCAATAAAAGAACGTTTTTCTTTCCACATGTTTTGGTTCCATCTTGTAATTTTTTTAAAAAGTGTGAATGTCTGAAATATTTATTTATTTAAAACAATTACTGCTTTTTCACATTTTCCCAATCCAGTACTTGTACTTGACTAAGAGCATGGTCTGCTGTGCATCTTTAAAAATCTGAGAAAGGAAAAAGACGGCCTTAAAACTACATATATAAAGTTTTTCATAAAGTTATATAAAATTTGAACAAAAATAAATAAGTAAATTCATCAAAAACATGACCTAACAGGTGCATCATGTTTATCACTGACTGACAAGTTTTGGGCTAATTGCTCTTTAGGAATAATAAAAATACTGTTTTAACCATTGTTTTTAGACGTCACTAAACACATTTCAACAATTATTAAGAATTGTAAAAAGTGGTTAGAGAACAAATAAATAATTTATTAATCATTTGTCTGTGATCTTTAGACACATTTATTTTATATAAATGGAAGTCATTTATAGTTTTTTTTTTTCAAGTTTCTGTATTGATTTCTACATAATGGCTTATAAAACAAAAGCAACTGCGAAAATTCAGATACAGAAAGTATTTTTAATTAACAACAACAATAACAGACTAATAAAACTTGAGAGATCTTACATGCGATATGATGCTCTATGCCACTTAAAATCACAAGAAAGTCTAATTTGTTTGAACCAAATGTACTGAACTGTTCCATATAGATGTAACCATAGATGCTCACAAAATAAACAGCTTCATGCCTGGAAACATCTAAATAAAAACAAGCTTACCTGATGTCAATATTAAAACCTGTGATTGTTTTCTAATTTGCTCAGCTGTCTTCAATCAGTTTGAGCCTATTTATCCTATTTTACAGGAACTTGTTGGTCATATGGAACCCTCAGGTTTCTTGCTGACTCTGTCCCTGCATCGTTTTTGAAAGAATGTCCTGATGCATGCTCAATCATCCAGGTAAATAAATCCCCAAAAGTTAAGTCAGGTCAGATTCTTCTTGGTTGAAAGATTTCAACTAAGAAGAATCTGTCCAGATGATCTGACTTAACTTTTTTGGGGTCTTTGCAAGAAGTTTTACCTTCTATTGGACCTCTGTTCTTGCTTTTACGGTATAAATTGTAATATTGCCAGAAGTAGTCCTTGATGTTTTTAAACATGAAGTAATAAATCCAATAGTTAAAAAAAAATGGACTTGACCCTACCGTTTGTTCAAATTTTAGGTCAATCTCAAAACTTCCTATTCTTTCTAAAGTCTTGGTGAAAATAGTTGTTATTCAATTAATGCCTTTTTGAGAGAGAATGGAAATTTTGAATTCTCCCAGTCTGGTTTTAACCACGACAGCACTGAAACAGCTTTGGTTTGGGTTTGTAATAATATTCTTGTAGCAAATTACTCTGGTCTGGACTCTGTGGACTCCTGGACCTTATGTTGACCACAGTGCTCTTTTATCATGGTTAGACCACTAGGGTGGGATTACAGGAGCAGCATTGGATTCTACCATTTCTACCTGAGTGACAGAAACTTTTGTGCAAATGTCGGTAATTTTTAATCCACTATATCACCTCTTTCATGCGGGGTTCTGCAGGGCTTGGTTCTGGGACCGCTTCAGTTTTCCCTATACCTACTGCCTTTGGGGTCTATTCTGAGTAAACATGGCATTTATTTTCATTGTTATGCTTGATGATTGTCCAATTTATCTACTGTTAATTCTTGCTCCATGCACCCTCTGTTAAAATGTCTTGATGACATCAAGACTTTGGTGTCTTCACATGGTTTCAGCTTTAATGATGAGAAAATTGACGTTACTGTGTTCAGCCCTAGCTCTCCTGCTGGCACTCTTCCTGTAAACTCTGGCTCTCTTGAGCTTTAACTAAAGCAGTCTGCTACAAATCCAGGGATGATCTTAGACTCTGATTTTAAGTTTAATAAGCAGACTAAGTCTGTTCTGTATTAAAGCCTCATCCAGTTAAGGCGGATAGCAAAACTGAAGTCAGTGTTGACCAGACCTGACCTGGAGAAAATAGTCCATGCCTTCATCAGAACCCATCTTGTAATGCACTTTATGTTGGGGTCAGTCAGGTTTCCCTTTCACGTTTTCAGCTCATCCAAAATGCTGCTGCTCATCTCTTAGGAACTCACAGGTTTGAGCACATTTCACCTATCTTGTCCTCACTTCATTTGCTTCATGAGCATCACAGAATAGATTTTAAATTATCCTGTTGACTTTTAAATGCCTAAATAGCATTGCGCCTTCATATCACTCTGACTTGCTTCAACCATATTTTCTCGGGCACTGGGATCAGCTGCTTTTGGTTGTCCTAAAAACCAGGTTGAAGCTCAAAGGAGATCGGGCTTTTTCAGTCGTGGCTCCTAAACTTTGGAACAATCTGCCTCCCAACATTAGACAGGCTTCTTCACCTCCTGTTTTTGAATCCATTTTAAAAACCCATCTGTTTTCACTGACATTTAACCCAGTGTGAGTTGTTTTAGTACATTATTGTTCTTTGGTTACTTCAGATGCTTTAAATTAAAGTTTTATTGGTTTTTTTTTTTTTATCTCTACCTTTGTCTTTTTTTTTTTTTTTTGTCCAACACTTTGGTTACATCTTGTTTTTAAATGTGCTTCATAAATAAATTTGACTTGACTTTACTTTTACATCTGTACAGAATATTTTAGGAACGTTGATCATGTATTATGTTTTGTCTTTGACAGCTGATTAAATAACATCTGTGCCTCTAATGAACTACAATATTACACACTGCAACAAAAGTAATCAGAGATTCAATTTTTTTACTGATGTCATAGTTCAGATGCAGATATATAATGACTCTGCTTCTTAAGTTTAACTTTCCCTACATAAAAGAACTTACAAAACAACTAAACTTACACTACTCAGGGTATAACTGTCACAAAAACTGTAGACAATACATTTTCGGACTTGTGATGATGTGGCACGCTGTGTGCAACCAGAACTAGTTCATGATAAACACAAAGAGAGTTTTGATGTGTGTGTTACATACATTAGTTTCTTTATTCAGTTCGATCGACAAAGTAACAACTGTCAAACAGGGACGAGACGAAACAACCAGACACAAAAGAGCCAAACACTTCTGCAGTAAGAGGAAAGGACACAAAAAGATGGACCAGGAAACCAACGAACCCACCAGTAGAAGTGTCACTTCACTTGCTGAGGTGTTCAATATAATGCAGCTAAAGTATTTTATTTGTATTTTGTGTGTTTGGGGCTAATTATAACCATCTATCTGGGAAAATTGAAATTAATGTGTAAGTTGACTTTGGTGTATGTTGCTGCTAATGGAACTGGTGCTCAAAGGGCACTGGGGTTGCGGAAGTTGTGTCCAGCGAAGTGGGCCCTGTCTCCTAACTCTTCCTCAATCCTGAGAGGAAGAGGAGGTGAGGAGAGAACCAGAAAGCAATACAGAGAAAACAAAAGATAAATGTGGAAGAGAAGACAAAAAAAGAGATATTTAAGAAAGTGTTGTAAATAATTTTTATGTGGTCTTATGTGTGAAAATATAGTCTGTGTTGTGAAAACACACCTCATGAGCTGATTGTATTTGGCCAGACGCTCAGATCGACACGGAGCTCCAGTTTTGATCTGATGAGGCATAAAAATGTGAAAAGATTATACAATATTGGCTTTACTAATGACACATTTATAGACAAAAACAAAGAACTAATGCAACTTTTAGCTCTTTTAAAAATGTGCTTTCTGTAAAGGTCATGTTAAAATCATTTATACCTGTAAAATTTTATGTAAAGACGTTGAATAATGTAAAACAAACTTGTGAGCCACAACTATTTATCATTATCCACAGGCTGATATACTTGTTGCACTTCTTCTAAAGGGCAGCTCATTTACAGTATTTGCATAGGTGTAGGCATACACACACATACATGTATATTTATGTATATAAGTGTAAGTATGTACACTTGTTTGTATGTATTTTATTGTGCGACTGTCCAATTGATGTCTTGGTGATTTATTTAGCTTCTGTGAGTGAGAACTTATAATATTCAACACACATGGTGCTGTGTTGTGAGTGTTACCTGTCCAGTGCAAAGACCAACCACCAGGTCAGCTATAAAAGTGTCCTCGGTTTCACCTGAGCGATGGCTTACCATCACCCCCCAGCCATTCTCCTGGGCCAACTTACACCTGAGAACAAGAAACAGAGCAAATATAGTAACTCTTCAATATTCCAGGTGCATGTTTTATGTTTAAGTGTACAAAAACGCCAGTGTACGCTTTGATGGCTTCAGTCACAGATCCAATCTGGTTGACTTTAAGCAGCAGACAGTTGCAGGCCTTCTCCTCCACGGCTCGTTGGATTCTGCGAGGGTTTGTCACGGTAAGATCATCTCCAACCACCTGAGATAATAGAAGGTTGTAAAAATGGCAAACAATATTAGCAACAAAAAATATTTTTAAAATAGCAGCACAGAAACTATAGACATTTGAATGGAATCATCACTCAAAACTGGAGAACTATTTTCTTGCCTTGCAAAGTTTACAAGATCCTATGTCTTTTGTCAACTGTCTCTTGACACTGATGATTATCTGCAGGTTTCTGTAGATGTCTGAGCATCCGTCCATCCTCTTTGCTTAGTGGAGTTTGTGTTGTAAAGTCTGAGAAGAAAACTCAGACACCTCGCGTCCTCTTAGGTCGACCCAGGACGCTCCCAGACCAGAAAAGCAATTTAATCCTTCCAGCGGGTTCTAGGTTTGCCCCAAGCTTTTTCTCAGTGGAGAGTTGTAACTTTTAACTTTAGCTATGTTTGTAGCTTTTAGTTGGGCATTTTGATACGTTTAAATTCTAGCTGCCCATTTGCAACTTTTAGTTGCTCTTGTTTCATTTAGCCATTAGTAGGCCTTTTGTTAAGCTAGCTTGTTGCCAATATTAGCTTTTAGTTAACATTTTGTTCCTTTTTAGCTAATGTTTTATTACTTTTAGCTTCTAACTGCCATTTTGCAACTTTAAACATTTAATCTTATTTTATTTAGGCCTAAGCTAGCTTTTTCCTACTTTCAGCTTTTAGCAGCCATTTTATAAGTTTAAATTTTATAGTCTTGGTTCACTTAGCTTTAAGCTAGCATTTTGCTAGTTTAAGCTAGCCTTTGTTCATTTTTATATTTTAGCTATACTTTTGCAACCTTTAATTTTTTTTATGCTTATTTAGCTTGCTTTCTGCTAGTTTCAGCTAGCCTATTGCTACATTCAGCATTTAACTAACCCTTTGCTTCTTTTAGCTTTGATTAACTTTTAGCAACTCTTAAGCTGCTTTTAGCTAGAGTTTTGTCACTTTTAGATTCTATGCCTTTTTATAATCATTAGCCCTGTCCTATGTTAAGCAAGTCTTTTGCTATTTTCAGCTTCTAGCTGCCCTTTTGCTACTTTTAGCTAGCCTATTGCTGCTTTTATCTAAAAATGTATCTACTCTTGCTTACAGCTGCCATTTTGCAATATTTGGCACATTTTTTTGTCTAATTTAACTTTTTGCTCTTTTTAATTTTTAGCTATTGCTTTTCTTATTTTAGCTTTAAAAACTTTGTCAGTACACTTCAGTAAAGTCAATCAGCAGTCGGCTGTCACTCTGTATTTTCACAGAAATGTCTCTGGTTTATATTTGATTTGAGGATTTCTAAGAAATTTTATCAGAAAAGGACTGATGTTAAGTAGTCCTGTAATATCTTGGATTAATAGGTGAGTTTCTTTCAGCTGCTCCCTTCTGCAGGAGTTGCCACATGTACGGTAACCTCACATGAAAAATTTGTCAATTGTTTACCACCATATGCTCTTCCTGATGCAACCTGGGTCTAAACCGACAGCCCCAGGATTACAAGGCTGCTGCACTTAACCACTGAGCTACAGCAGCCCTCAATTAAATCTGTATTTAAAATCCTGAGTCATTGTACCATTCTCTGTGCAATGAAGAGCAACACTGATCCCTGCACCAGAATAAACTGTAATAGCTGGGTCTGAGTAAAACAATAAAATCTCACCTGAATGCCCACTGAAGCTGTGAACTGTGACCAGGCAGGCCAGTCATCCTGGTCAAAAGGATCTTCAATAGACACAACTTAAAGACAGAGAAAGGTCATTTAACACAACAGAGTCAAATATAACAACCTGCTAATAAACAAGACACTGACATTTCTAGCCGACTAAAGTCTCCTCGGACATTATAAATGGATTCACGCTCGATTGATGGGTAGTATACACATCTTTGACAAGATAACAAGCCTCTCTTTCACCAAACATGCAGTCGCACATCAGCAGAATATCTTTCACAGACCTCTGTGCTAAAGAGGACAGAGCAGGCTCCCCAGAGATCTGATTTTTCTCTGTCAGCTCTTTCTAAAGGACCGCGATGGAAACGTCTTGTGTGTCTGTTTATTGTGACGCAGCAATAATGAGCTGCAGAAACCAGTAAACTCCCAACACCCACCGGGGTAGTTGTTGATGAAGCCCTGATAGATGCTGGCCAGCTCCTCAGCACTGATGTTGCGGGCAGCGTTGGGTGGAGACTTGAAGTCCAGGTCGTACTTGCCCTCGCTGAAAAACTCAGAGGCGGCAACGTCCATCCCAATCACCACTTTATCTGTAAAGCCCGCTTTCTCTATAGCTGTCTTTATCAGCTCCAAGGCTGACAGGAGAGAACAGAAAGATGGAAGACTGCACATTAGGCCATCTTGTTGCTTTTTTTGTGTGTGTGGACAGCTGCACGGCTTACCTTCACTGTTCTCTTGTATGTTGGGAGCAAAGCCCCCTTCATCTCCCACATTTGTAGCATCCTGACCATATTTCTCCTTAATGACGCTTCTAAGTGTTTGATAGAGCTCCGCCCCAACACGCAGAGCATCACGGAAAGACTCTGCACCCACTGGGAGGACCATGAATTCCTGCATAGCCAGTCTGTTCCCAGCATGGGAGCCCCCATTGATTACATTAAAAGCCTAAAAGAGAAACAGATAACAGGAAGAGGTGTTTATATGTAAGTGTTTGAAGGTTATACATATATATATACACACACACACACACACATATA